GATGAGGAATTCTGGGAGTTAAGATCCAGGCATCTTAAAGCATGCTGGCTGCAGAATTCTGGGAGTTGAAGTCCACATATGTTAAAGCTTGCTGGCTGAGGAACTCTGGGAGTTGAAGTCCAGGCATCTTAAAGGATGCTGGCTGAGGAATTCTGGGAGTTGAAGTCCAGCCATCTTAAAGTTTGTTGGATGAGGAATTCTGGGAGTTAAGATCCAGGCATCTTAAAGCATGCTGGCTGCAGAATTCTGGGAGTTGAAGTCCAGGCACCTTAAAGCACGCTGGATGAGGAATTCTGGGAGTTGAAGGCAATGTTGTTATTTCTCAGAGAAAGATGCCCCTGTCCCTTTAATAGTCCCCCCTACCTTAATAACATAAAACAGAGAGAGAGAGGTAGAAATAATGGCCAACAAATAAGTTAAATCTTAACAACAAAGGCTAACGTGAGAAGAGCAGACCAAAGAATTCTGATCATCCATTAGGCTCAAAGCTGGAGGTTGAAGAATGATCCTGTCGATCCCCTTTGACTTCCATCCTCCGCAGTGGATCATCGTCGGAATCCGATCATCACAATTCCTCCGTGTTTTCTTTTCTTTTCCCCCCCAGGCGACCCACAACCTGCCGCTCATCCGAATTCTCGCTTCTGCGCCCCGGCTCGGCAGTGTCCCATTATGGATCCGGATTGGGAATCCCCCCAGGGGGTCCCCATCGACGCCATCATCTTTGGGGGCAGGAGGCCGGCAGGTAGGAACTCTGCCCCCGTCCCCCTCTCCCCCCCCCCAAACATTGTTTTTCCTGGTCCGATGTTCTCGAGATCACCTCTTGGTGTCTTTTTCTTTTCTCCCTCTCCCAGGGGTGCCTTTGGTGTACGAGGCCTTCAACTGGCGCCATGGGGTGTTTGTGGGCAGCGCCATGCGGTCGGAGTCCACGGCGGCGGCTGAGCACAAAGGTGATTAATTGATTCATATCGTTCAAAAGGAAGATAAGTCTAGAAACTTACCTACAGGTAGTCCTTGGCTTATAGCGATTTGTTTAGTGACCGTCCGATCAGGGGTGCTGTTCACTCGCTACCAGTTCACAAATGTGTGTGCACGCACTCACTTCGGCGCGTGCGCTTTGATGGCGCGCACGACTTGCAGGTGTGCGCGCGGCTTGAAAACGTGCCGCCTACCGTATTTTTCGGAGTAGAAGACGCACCAACATTTTGAAGAGGTACATTAAAAAAAAAGTTTTTGCACTCTGCAGGGTCTTATTTTTTGTGAAAAATGGGGCATGCAGAGAGTTTGAAAGGCCTTCAAAGGCCTCCTCCGTATTCCATCTGCCGGCCAATGTCGGCTGGCGACTACTCGGAGGAGGGCTTTCTCGGTGGCTGCTCCGGCCCTTTGGAGCGAGCTCCCCGTGGAGATTCGGACCCTCTCCACCCTTCGGGCCTTCCGGACGGTCTGGAAGACCTGGCTGTCCCAGCAAGCCTGGGGTTGAGTCGTCCCTCCTACTCGAATTTGCTGTGTCTGTTGTGCTTTTAAGTTGTTCGTATTGTCTGATTGTTTCTGTCTTACTTTTTGTAATTTCCCCTCCCTTGGCTTTTGTTCAGCTGCCCTGAGTCCCTTCGGGGAATAGGGCGGCCTACAAATTGAATAAACTCCAACTCCAACTCCTGGGCACTGGGGGAGCAAAAACGAGCAAAAAACAGCCCTTTTTTTGCAAAAAAACGGCCTCTTTTTAGCAAAAACGAGTCCATTTTTTGCCAAAAAAAGGCATGCATAGTGTTTAGGAGGCTTGTAGAGTGCTCCTGGAGGCTGGGGGGTGGGGGTGGGGAATGTCTGCGTGCCATCAACCCTGAGAATGGCTTCTTCGGGGTGGCCCTGGGCCATTTTTTGCTCGTTTTTGCCCTCCTCAGCCCCTCTACAATCCTCCTAAAAGTTACGCATGTCCATTTTTGCAAAGGAGGCAGGGTTTCAGGGGGCCAAAAATGCTGTATTCAGTGTATAAGATGCACCCAGATTTTCACCTCTTTTTTGGAGGGGGAAAGGTGCGACTTATACACTGAAAAGTACGGTAAATAGGACGGCATAGAACAGCATTTCCGTGTTTTTTTGGGGGGGGGGCAAATTGTTCACCTCTCTCCTTCCTTTTCTCTTCCCCTCTTCTTTCCCCAGGAAAGGTCATCATGCACGACCCCTTCGCCATGCGCCCCTTCTTCGGCTACAACTTCGGCCGCTACCTGGAGCACTGGCTGAGCATGGAAGGGCGGAAGGGCGCCCGCCTTCCCAAAATTTTCCACGTCAACTGGTTCCGGAAAGATTCCGCCGGGAACTTCTTGTGGCCGGGTTTCGGGGAGAATTCCCGGGTCCTGGATTGGATCTTCCGCCGGGTGGACGGGGAAGAAAGCGCGAAGGAGACGCCCATCGGCTACGTCCCCAGAGAAGGCGCCTTAAACCTCTCCGGCCTCAGCCAGGTGAGCCACGCGGAGCTCTTCTCCCTGCCCAAGGAATTCTGGGAACAAGAGGTCCGCGAGGTGAGACAATACCTGACAGAACAAGTGCCGGAGGACTTGCCCAAGGAGGTCTTGAAAGAACTGGAAGCCTTGGAGAGCCGGGTGAAGAAGATGTGAGGCACCTCAACCGTAGAAGATATCCCACCAAAGACCGAAGATTCTTCCCCTGGTTTTTTTTTCCGGAGGGAGGGGAAGAGAGCTATCAGGGGCCTTGTTTACAGAAGTATCCATTCCTCTTTTCTTAACCAGCTATGTCACTCTAGTCTCAGGGGTCCCATGTCACATTTCTGAGGTCAGCTGATGGCCACCCCAACGTTCTTCCTTCAGCCTTGCGTACCTTCCTCGAGCGGAGTCCCCTTGCTTTGAGACCTGTTGTTTTTGCTTCCTTCCTTTGCGTCGGTCATTCTTTCAGCTCAGGGGAAACGGGAAAGGGATTGGGGGGGTGGCCTTTCATTTTACGTGCCTTCCGAGAGGTTGATTCTTCCCCGTGCATCTTCTCCGTAGGATCTCCTGCAATTGTTTGGCCTTTGACAAGCTGTCTTTTTTTTCTCTATCTATCTATAAAAACAGCTGTGTGTTTGCGTGTGTGTGTGTTCCACCATAACTCTGGAACGCCTGGGGCAATTTCAACCAAACTTGGTACACAGATGACTTCCTCTCTGGAGACAAATACTGTGGGGGTAAGACGCCCCTAACAACCCCTTCGGTGTGTGTGTGTTCTGTTAAGATACAGCCTTTTTGTGCCTTAAAATGGCTTCTACTGTACTGCCGTAACATGACTTCTACTGTACAGCACAGTGGATTTATCATGGTAACGGCTTCACAGTACTCCCTCTGATAAGGGGAAAAAATCCAACATTTAGAAATTACGTTTGGTCTGGACAATATATTGCATTTAAAACGAACGAGGAAGGTAGTTGCAAGATTGATCTCCGATGCTTATGCAGTATTTCTGGAGGCAAAAACTAGTTATCCATGAGACCTTCTCAGGCCTACCGGTGATTAGGACAGCACAAAATAACCGAGTTGCAAGGAGCCTTGGAAGTCTTCTAGTCCAACCCCTTTTCCAAAGCAGGGAATCTTTTACCCTTTCAGACCCAACGGTTCTCCGATCTCTTCTTTAAAAATCTCTCTGTTGGAGCAGCCACAATTTCTGGAGGCAAGCAGTTCCACAGGTTAATTGTTCTCCCTGTTAGGAAGTTCACTGCTTAATTCCACGTTGCTTCTCTCCTTGATGAGTTTCCATCCATGGCTTCTTGTCCTGCCCTTGGATGCTTTGGAGAATTGGTTGACCAATTGGGACAGCCCCTCAAATAGCGGAACATTGCTATCACGTCACCCCTCGTCCGATCAACATTAACCCCAGATTGTCCAGCTCTTAAGCATACCACAAATATGTGGCTGTGTATCAAAGGTTTTTTTTAACAGAATAACACAGTTGGAAGGGATCTTGGAGGTCTTCTAGTCCAACCCCCTGCCTAGGCAGGAAACCCTACACCACTTCAGACAAACAGTTATCCAGCGTCTTCTTAAAAACTTCCAGTGTTGGGACATTCGCAACTTCCGGAGGCAACTTCTGTTCCACTGATTAATTGTTCTCACTGTCAGGAAATTTCTCCTTCCTTTAAGTTGCTTCTCTATTAATTAAAAGGAAAACAGTGTCGCTCCGTCTGTGTTTTCAATTCTGTCTCTTTCTACTGCACCTTTCCTACCGACGTTAGAAAGTTTGTCGGCATTTTAATGACGTGAGTTTTGATTTTTATAAGCGATCAAGATTGTCGACAGGGAGAGGAGTAAGGCCAAAGGCAAAAAGTCTTGAGAAATTGCACGCCTTAATTAAGTCTAGCAAAGTGGACCTGGAATAATAAAAGTTGAATAATGTTTCACTTCAAACGAGCAAAATTCACGCTGGCTTGAGGAAAAAACAAATAACGCCGTCGAAATGTTGCCCATGTCCCTTGATCAGCCTTGGATGGGATCCGGATCAGGCTGAGGGATCGGTGCCTTTTAATATTGCACTGCTGTGGAAATCATGGGAATTGTGTTTAGATTTTCTCAAACATGGTTGCTTTAAGATATGTGGACTTCAACGCCCAGAATTCCCCAGCCAGGAATTCTGGGAGTTGAAGTCCAAGACATCTTTAAAACTTCCCCGTGTTGAAATGTTTTCATGACATCACAAGGCAAGCAACAGCTAACGAAGAACCCACTTTTTAAAGCCTAATGAATATGTTAAATCCAGTGGGGGGAATAAATTATACTGTAATTAACTCCTTACACGCTAAAATGATGGGCCTGTTAGACTTAAATCAGCTGAGAATTTAATAGCTATTAGGTGGAATCTTTAATTGATGCTCAAAGTCCATTTTTTTTCTTATTTGTCTGCATTCCTTATACAGCTAGATTCCATATAACGGGTGTATATGTCTTGCCTTTTTTTAAAAAAAAAAAATTGCCAATAATGTGCTGGGTTTTACTGTGGTGGCAAGAAGGAGATGTTGCGGAAGTGACAAGAAAAGGCCAAGAAAAATAAATAAATAAAACTGCTCGACATTTTTGGGTAGAGTTGTTACGACGGCATTTTGACCAAAAACAAGGCAGCATTTGCAAAAAACAACAACAACAACGAGAAAAACTACATGATTGACTGAAATTTAATTGGTCTACGTGGCAGGGAGGACCCTAAAATAAAATGAAAAAACAGAAACCCGTATTTTATTAATAATAAACACAAATAAGAATAATTGGTGGTGGTGGTGTGTTTTTTTTAAGTCTTCTTCCAAGTTTGTGCGTGCTTGTGAGTGTTTGCAAAGGAGCTATATCCAAACTTAAAAGACTTATGCCAACAGATGTGTAGACTTCAACTCCCAGAATTCCTGGCTAGTGGAGGAGTTGAGTTGATGGGGTAAACGTTGAGTGGGGTATGTATGCACGATTTGCAAAGCTGGGGAAGAACGCGGTCGGGCTGTGTTATGTGTTGGTCTGGTTGTGTCTGTATCGTGCGTCTTGCAGAGCTGGGGAAGAATACCATCCGTGTTTGTGTGTCAGTAGATGATTACAGATTAACAGAGTCGGGAGGGACCTTGGAGGTCATCTAGTCCAGCCCCCCCTGCCTTAAGCAGGAGACCCTACACCATTTCTGACCGATGACAGTCCAGTCTCTTCTTGAAAGCCTCCAGCGACGAAACTCCCACAACTTCCGAAAGCAACTTCTGTGGATTGTTCTCACTGTCAGAAAATGTCTCCTTATTTCCACGTTGAATTTCTCCTTGTTCAACTTCTATCCATTATTCCTCGTCTGGCCTTTGGAAAATAGCTTGACCCCCCCCCCCCAAAAAAAATCTCTGGGGCAGCCCCTCAAATATTGGAAGATGCTCTCCTGTCTCCCCTGGTCCTTCTCTTCACTAGACTAGCCAGGCCCAGTTCCTGCAACCGTTCATCGCATGTTTGAGCCTCCAGGCCTGCTTTGATCATCTTAGATAGATTCAGATTGACAAAGTTGGAAGGGAACTTGTAGGTCATAATAGTCCACCCCCCCCCCCCGC